TTACGTGCAGTTCACATTACTATCTATACTAACTCTACGTATCGTAACAATCATCAATATATGATGAAGGACACATATAGGCTGGAAATGGAACAATATATTTAATATGAATATAGGCTACACAAGAGTGATCATACATGCGAGGCCGAGATATGTCATTCGATGAAATTGAACTGATTGAATTCTTTCTTCGCGTCTTATCCACCGTTGGGTTTTTCTACGCGTTAAATGTTGAATCCCTATTTTCTCAGTTGTTTCGTGTTTAGCTTTTGGGATTGTGTGGCTGAGGCACAATGCCACTACAAATATGCAACAGCGTTAAAATGACTTTGGCAAAATGGTTTATTGTCTTTTTGAAAAAGTAAAAATGTACACTTATAAGCAAGAATATTAGCAAAATAATTTATTTTCATTTTTGTGGAATAAATATATATGACCATATTGAAAATGGTTCGTTTCGTTTTTCTTTCATGTCACAAAGTGCTATGTAGTGTATTGCGTGCAGTAATCGTTTATGTGTTCTGGAAACTTTGTCCTTCATCCGGAACGCGTTGTTTTCAGTCGGTTGTCAGGCACCACAAAAATGTCGTTGTGGTTGTTGATTATCGGGTGAGGTATCGTAATTGCAAGACTCCCGTTTTTCGATTGTATCAAAGGAATGTCGACGTGGATAGGGTTTCTTTCTAAATAAGCTGCTTTGATGCGGTCAACGCCGATGCAATTGTTAGTTTCGTTCTTATTGATTATATAATACCTAGGTTCACTCTGAAGAACTTTGAAGGGTTCTTCATGTGCCGTTTCTCGTGGTCGTCGAAGTGAGTCACGACGAACAAAGACGTGTGTACTATACCGTAGGGCAAGTCGGACGAAAACATCGGTTTACTGCGGTCGAGTGGAAATAGGTTTAACTGAACACAATGCCTTTGTAAGCCTGACTGTGCAAGAGTATAGATCCATGATCATTGAAGAAGACGAAGGATCTAAGTATCCTCCTGGAAGTCGGAGTGTTGTTTTATAAACAGGTTGAGGTGCAGTATATTCAGTGTCAGCTTTCACTGCATTGCGAATACCAAGTAAAACGAGTGAAGGAACGTCGGTTTTTTGTGAAACCTTCGAAGCTGAAAGTGAAGATTTAGACTGTCGATGAAAGTGTTCTACCAACCCGTTTGCTTCTGGGTGGTTCCTAGTAGTGTAGTTAGACAATGGAAACGTTAAGACTCAAAATGGCGTCCACGTTCTTTAGTGTTAGTTGAAGGGCAGCCAAAGTTTGCTATACATCGTTTGAAGAAGGCGCGGGCCACTGTTTTAGCATTAACGTCCTTGATGGTAATGCCGCTGGTCATAGAGTGAAACGGTCTACAAAAGTTAGGAGATAATAGTATCCAAGTGATCCTGGTAAGGGTCCTACCAAATCCACATGAACATGGTCAAAACCAGCATCGAGAGATTTGAATGGGCCTAGTGGACATTTGTTGTTTTTAATCACCCCAGGTTTGGAACACCTGACTCAGGAGCGTGCCAACTCCCTTAAGTCTTTATTCATACCAGGCCAACAAATTCGTTCTACTATGAGCTTGATGCTTGCACGAAAACCTGGATAAGTAAGCTTGTGCAGCGTATTGAAGAAGTTGCGTTGATAATGTTTCGGCACAGTTGGATGATCCCTACCTGTAGATATGTCGAGGAGTAAAGTTTCCTCACTCGTTCACTTCTGTTTAATACGCAGTTTTAGGGTTGTTGAAGATAACACGTGCTGAAGATCACTGTCTTCTTTTTGAAGCTGGGTGAGTTTAAGAAGGTCGATTCATTGAAAACTTTTAGAGGGAGTTATATGAGACAAGGCGTCTGCATCCACATTGTTTACCATAAAAATGTCTTTTATATATGAAGTAAACTGTCAGATGCAATCCAGTTGTCGAGACTCTGGAGAGAACTGCCTGCCTGAAGATGAACTTAAAAAGAATGTAAGAGGTTTGTGATCGATGCAAAGAGTGAATTCTCGGCTTTCCGTGGTGTTGAAATTGTCGTACAGCACAATACATAGCTAGGAATTCCCTACTAAAAGTGCTATATATCGATTCGGTGTCTAGCTAACGTCTCGAGGAAAATGCTAAAGGTTGTCATGTGTGGTTAATCCATTGTTGTAAAACTTCTCCAATTACCAAGTTGAATGAGTCTACTGCAATACTAATGGGGGCTTCAGTATTCTGGTGTGAGAGCAATGTTGCTTTAACGATAAGTTCCTTGACTGTGGGGAATACTTTTTTTCGCGATATCGCCCAAGTTGACGAATTTTATGTTTCCACAAAGTTGGTCGGTCTATGGTCTCATAAGGGACGCGCAACTGGGTATGAACCGTCTATAGAAACTTACTAGGCCGTTAAACATGCGTAGTTGCTTGATTGTGGTCAGTTTTGGGTAATCAGGAATGACCACCACTTCGTTTTCTAGAGGTTGGATGCCACGAGCGTCCATATTGTATCAAAGAAAATCTAGAGAGTCGATGCTGACTTGGCATCCATGAATGTTTTGTAGCCGTTAGAAGACAAGGTCCAGATACTGGAGATAAGCTTCTCCCTCAGAACTTCCATCCAAGCAGTCATCAACAAATGCATGCAAGAATTTGAGGCCTCGATAAATTTCTGGAAAGTTGGTGCGGCATTTTTTAAGCCGAAAGGCATGCGCGAAAAGTCGTAGTGACTGAAAGGTTATAGGATAGCAGTTTTAGGGATGTCGTCAGTAGCCATGGGAATATGGTAATGTGCTTTAACTAAGTCGATCTTCGAAAAAGCAGCTGTACCTTTCAAAGTAGATTTTAAACCTTTAATGTGATGCATCGGATATCAATCAGGAATGGTTTTCGCATTCACTCGCCGACAGTCACCAATTGGACGCCAGTCGTTGCTCTGCTTTTGGGGGACCATATACAAGGGAGATGCCCATGAACTGTTTGATGGCCAAATGATTCCTACGTCTACCATGTCATCGAATTCATTTCTAGCAAGCCTCAGCTTTACGAGAGCTAGTCGGCGCGCTTTCGAGAATACAGGTGGTTCAGAAGTCGTGATGTGTTGTATAACATTACTAGTTACACATGGCTATTTCAGTTGCGTTCGATATATCTCGGGGTACTTATCGAGTATTTGATGAAAGTATAGATCGATTATATGTCTAACAGTGACCGGGCACAACTTACAACCACAAAATGAAGTTACGCAAACAGATAATTTAGTATTTCCATCTACTAACCTCCGTTTTCACGTGTCGTTGAGTAGATCATGGTGTTGAAGTAGGTCTATACCAACGATAGGCATAGAAACATCTTTAACAACGTAAATCAAGGGAATGGGTTTGAGTAAATGCACGTTAAGATAAATATGTCACTTACCTTATGTTGTGATCGATCTCCTATTTTCCGCGTGTAAGTAAAAAACATTAGTCTTTAACCAAGGCAACACGATAAAAGCTCATACGAGGAGCGCTGAAGAACATACAGTACGGTCATAAGGGATCTGAATAAATGTAGAAATCCAAGACATGGAGTAAAAGCAAATAATCAACACTACCGTCCAATAAAATGCTCTGAAGGGATTTTCAGAGCGTCCTTTCTGCTACAAAGATACTAATCTATTGCGGCAACTAACAAAATCTTGCTAGCTCATGACTGAGCAAGAATTTATCGTGTAAGAAAATACATAACTGAGGATATTAATAAACGCCATAATTGTTCCGACTTGACACAGAATCCTACATTTTTCTACTGAAATAAGTTAAGATGTTTCAGTCTATCTTCATAAGGTAGGCCTGATAGACCTTTTACCATTTTAATCCCTCGTCGTTGGACTCGTTCCAGCATATCCGCCTCATACTTGATTTTCTGCTTGAATCTTATATTATAAATGCGGTTGCACGAAAGTCGGGTATAATAAACTAAACATTTCTTTATTCAAATACTGAAAAGACGTGCGAATAACCCACAATACTCTACAGCTTTTCGCAGCAGCAGCCTTACAGCCCCTAGTAGTTTTAAGATCGCTGCTCATTGAGACTCTTAAATCTTTATAGTTTATTACTTTGGCTAACATGAATCAACATACTGTGTAATGATACGAATCGTCATAGCTATCTAACTGCATCGCCGCACTCTTGTTAGGATTCACTTGTAATGACCATCCGTTCATCCATGCCACAAATGAGTTGAGATCATTCTGTAATACTATTCTATCTGACATGGTGTGTAAGGGTAGTCAAATTTTTATGTTATCGGTGAAGAGATGAACGATTGACTTTGCTCTAGACTTCTGCAGAGACATATCAAACAGTGTGGCTATAGGTTCAGCCACTACATCCAATATGGCTTTCATAATCCTAGGATGATTATCATCAGGCCCTCTGGACTTATCAGGTTTGAGATGATAAAGTAGTGTTAAGACAGTACCTTTCTCAGTAACTACAGGGTCCATCAACAAACATCCACAATCACAATACGATCATGATGCCACATGTCGCTCTTAATAGCCGTCATTCTTCATTTATTTTAGTACCGAACAACACTTATTAGGATAGCTATTCATAATAGAACAAGAACTAGCTCGACGTGATTCTGATAAGCTATGGAATTCCCTACCCAAAGACATAGTGTTGGTGTCGTCTGTTGAACCTTGTAGAGGAAGGTTTGACAGATAATTTACTCCCATAGATACTGAGGATTATTACTGCGCAAGTTACTCTATAGTCGCTCCTACAGTTAATGACGAACATATTTAGTCTTTCATTTCAGAAGTAAGATTGCTAGAACTATATTTTGATACTATAAAAATGCCTTCGAACGACCCAGATGTAGGTTCGAAAGAACAAGTAGTTAGCAAATCCTGGCAAACAAAGATTGAGGTTTGGACTTAGAGTAATTTGTAGCGGGTAGTGTAAACGGTGTCGGTTTTTGGTAGTTTGACTGGCTTTGAGTCTTGTAACTTTAGATATCTCAGTCATTGCTTGTTCCAATGGCAGATAATCTTAATAACCCAGTAAATTTATATAATAATAATAAATGGCGGAGCTCGCTATATTCTCAAGGTCTTAAGACAGTAAATATAATTTATAAAGTCTTTTTCCAAGTATCCTTCCAATTGTAATTAGATAGCCCCTCATTCTGCGCTACGCATAATAAGCCACGTAATTACACACTTGACTATCTGTACTTTTTAAAAAACATCTAATTCACTTTTCTGTCAAGGATCTACGACATGAAAGCAGTCTTTTAGTTCGGGTTTCATTGAGCCTTTATGCATTTTGGTGAAGATGTTTCCACCTATCTAATTGTTCGTCTGGATGGTCATAGGGTTTTAAACTCTTCGTCTCCAATCAGATGGCCATGACGATTTCTACGTCATTACAAAGCAGGACCGACGATACTGGCATTTCATTCGACTGACCATCCAGCTCGATTATTTTAGTCTTGGATATGCATGTTTTAATCAGTGCCTATCAACGTGATTAATTGTACCTCCGTGCTCATCGCAATTCCAGATGATAGTGATTATATTGTCAGGGGAAATTCGGTGTCCTTAGTCTTGAATCATCGACCCTGGAACTGTCCAACAATGATTAAAAGGATACTTAGGAAACAAGTCTAGATGTGATATGCTCTCTCTTAGGTTAGGAAAACTCAATAGAGATCGCAGAACGTAAAACACAAGAGCGATCAAAGTTATGATGTCGTATAGGTTTGCTAACCTAGTAGTCAACTCTTGAGACGTACGTCTGTAAGTATTGTCTTTGCACGTATCTGAACTTATTCAAGAGAGGTCTGCGGTATACAGAAATTTGATAGAAAAGAGCTAACACAGGTCATCAGCCTTCTGTTTTCAATACTCCAATCTGGATCGTAAGGGAATCGTTCTTAATTTATTTTGTTTTGCTTCCCACATATTTTAGCCATTCAGTGGACTTATTATTTGTCAGTTGAACGAGCCTAATAAACGTGGAGTGATTGAAATTCCATTACTAGTAAAGGTGCGTTCTTTTTCTCTCCATTTCTTAAGTATATTACTGAATACACTAGCACCTGTTTATACTGGTCTTATTTCTTCCCTATTGTGCTAGTTTCTTTACTTTCTGATGTGTGGTAACGTGGTTTTCGTATCACTATATGAGGTGGTCAGCTACATTCAGAGTGTGCGAGTTCAGTATAATTGGTATGCTACGTCGTAAAAGTGTGGGTCTTCAATGCATTTGTGTGTGATTCTATTTTTCTTGTTTGCAACTCCTCAGTTCTATTTTACAACACAAGTGTTATACAGCTGTACGCAAAACATGTTTCGTATGAACACTTGGCGAAACTTAACTACTAAGTTTTTCCGTAGAATTTCGAACCAGACTGCCGGGCGAAACATTATAATCATCTAAATCATGGCCGCTGGGATCGTTTCACATGTAATTTTTACCTTTAGAACACGTTTTGGTGTTCCAGATATTTCATCAGTTTGTAATTATCCTGGTAGTAGCTTCAAGCATATTGTTGGATTTCTAGGAAGCGTTTCAAATTCCTGAACGATTGTAACAATTTTCAATGCAGACAACTTGCTTTCGAGAAGTTGTTAGGTTCTGAAATCCCTTACAATTTAGTTGAGGCCGTCTCACATAATTGTTAGTCCTGTAGCTATCAATGCCAAGGTTTCAAATAAATTTGGCATTGGGCAGCAAGTTAATAATAAATATCTTTTTGTGATATTCTTTTGTACTATTTAAACTCATGTTAACTTTATTTCGGTTATTTATTTACTCTAAAGAAGTGACTTACATTAAGTCGCAAAACACCTGATATACAATTTTCTACACGTTGGGATATCAAAAGAATATTTATTATTTGTTAGTTTTGTTTTTTTGTTTAAGTTACGAGTGACAAATCATTGTTTGTCTTTTTTCCGTGGTGTTTCTATTGAGTGTAGCTAATACATTCTCCCACTCGTCACTTTGTGTCTACAATCACCCAGAACTAGTGAAAATAACTAAGTTGACATACATCAGCCAATCGTCTTGACATTCTTCAGGTTTCATTTCGTTTAGTGATGGCAGGTTATCCTCATCATTTTGTTACTGCCCACCTTGGTTATCCTGGTTATGCTCACGCAACCTTCGTGCCTACGTCAATTCCTAATCCAGCTAACTCTGTCACTCAGTTATCCACTGCCCAAATCAATGCAGGATGGGTAGAGCACCATTCTCATGATGGGAGAAAATACTATTATAATACATTCACTCAACAGACGACTTGGGAAAAACCGCAAGAGTTGAAGACTCAGCGTGAGAAAATACTTTGCAACTGTCCATGGAAAGAGTTTAAATCCGAAAACGGTAAACCTTACTATTTTAATGAGAATACAAAACAGTCAGTGTGGATCAAACCACAAGAACTAATAGACGCTGAAAACCAAGCAGCCGCCTGTAATGCAGCTGCAAATGCTACGGTCCCCGAACAGCCACCAAGTATTCCCCCAGTCACACCGTGTACACCAGCTACCCCAAAAGATGACGTCAATAAGCCTCCTGAACCTTCAGAAATCGAACGGGCAATGAAGGCAACTTTGGCCTCTTTTGATACGTCAGATACTGTACCTTCATCAATTCCGATTCCATTACCTCCGGAAAAAGTAGATGACAGTGATAAAGATGAAAGTGACGAAGAGAAGCCTGTATCCAATCCACATATAACTACATTTTCACCAAATACTCAGACAGTGCCAGAATATAAGACTCGAGGAGAAATGGCGGAAGGTCTTAGGAGGCTTTTCAGGGATTGCAATGTTCCCGGTGGGGCTACATGGGAGCAAGCACTCAAGTTGATATCCGGGGACCCTCGTTACTCCATCTTGAGGACGTTCAATGAAAAGAAGCAAATATTTAATGTTTACAAAACTCAAAGGTTAAAAGAAGAACGTGAGGAGCAGAGAATAAGAATTAAGAGGGCGAAAGAGGATCTAGAAAAGTATCTTTTGAAATGCAATAAACTACACTCAACTATGTCATACCGTAGAGTAGATCAACTACTGTCGGATACGAAAGAATGGACTGATGTCCCTGATCGAGATCGTCGTGAAATATTCGATGATGTCATTCAAGAGGTAGGCAAACGTGAACGAGAAGAAGCTAAGATTTTGCGTAAACGGAATATACGAGTATTTAATGAAATTCTTAGTGAGATGCTTGATCTTACATATCGGACGACCTGGAGCGAAGCACAACAAATGCTGCTTGATAATACCAGGTTAGCTGAATATACTTATGTAATTAATTTTCGCTATTAATGTTATGTCACATGCACTTAATTAAATCGAACCGGCAAGAGATTATTACCAAATTCATTTATGTGCCTTTTTTGTCTTAAAAAGACAGATTTTACCTTTATTTTAGTGATTGATGTTTGTTTATCCTGCAGATGGTACTAATTTGAGTAAATAATCCATGTGTGACTATTAGAACAGTTCTCACACTTCATGTGTATTTGTGGTTTTATATAAGCATGAAAGGAAAACGACACATTGATTGCGAACGCCAGACTTGAAACTGGGAACAAGTTTTTGGATAGTTCTACATTTTTATTCTCAGTATTACTATAATAAGATGTTGAAGCTTCACTTGTTTTTTTTAATTGGGTAGTAGGTTACTAAATAGCGAGTAACGTTTATGTTAGTCGGATGATGAGTAGTAATCGGTATAATATTATATAATTTGTGGTCACAAAATTATATCAATCAAGTTTTCACTACGCCCACTAGGCTAAATGACTTGACATTGTGGCTCACTTTGTTCTGATGTGAGGTTGTGAGGAGTAATTGACAAGATATCTTAAACCTAGGTTTTGTGCTTGTTGGGATCCTCCAACATATATTTCTTATTCCTTTGAACATTTTGTTTCTGTCCTAACCATATTCTTTATTTTCAGCCCTTTTACTGTCATTATTACTGTTGTTACTTCTACTTCATTATTCATCCTGTTAATTTCACCACACTGTACTTGTGTGACGTATAAGCTCGAACTGACACGTACCTAAAATCTTCAAGAAATCGATATTCCGCCATACAATAATTCAAAACTGTTTTAACCAATGCTACAGTCATAAGTGTTACAGCTGAGCTATTTAGATAGAAATTAGAATGTAAGACAGGTAATTGAAATAATCAGTCAATATTTGAAGATGGTAAATAAATCCAGTCGCACCACCGTGATGGACTTTGAGCCATGTCGCTAAACGTCTCGAGCTATTGATGGCGAGTATTGTGTAACCTCAACCAGCAAGGTCTCACCTACTGTCAGTGACGTCGTGGGAAATGCCTTAATTTAACCACCGTTAGCTTTTTCCTAATTTATAATTCCACGTCACCCAATCTTGCAGGTTAGGTGGTGTTTAGGTAAGCGCATTTCCTAGTCATCTTGATTGATGAAGATATATATTCTAATCAGTGGTCTTGGGATTTTTACTTAGTATCATAGATATAACCTCAGCAGTTCTCTGTCGTTCCATTGTATTTGGAGATAACTCCAAAGAAACAATAAAAAACTTTCACACTGCCTATGTCACTTTCATTGGGGGATGTTTACCAGACGTAGAATAATGTAGAACAAACTGGTTTTTAGTGCAACTACCCCTTTATTGCGAGATAGAAATCCCACTCATACCATAAGCAACTCAGATTAGTAGGAGTTATTCTTTTTATGTCCTTAAGAAATATTGTCGGACAACAACCCATCAGTATTGATCAGAATTTCAAGGTAAGCTAGGTAATCAACATGCTCAATTACTTCACTCCTTATGGTCAAACTAGGGGTTAACGCTGACTATTTATGGTGTAATATTGTACATTAAGAAGAACATTAATACTCTTCCGACTCGCTTAGAATGTTACTTAAGGTGTTCAAGCAATCGATTTTTTCCGTTTCTATCAAGCGAGACGTTGTCATCTGTGTATTCTGGTTTGATAGTTAAATGTGGTGGGGATCAGTCAAATTTTTGAAACGTCTAACAAATCGAGCGTTAATTTCGAAAGGGTGTCTGCCCATTCGGAGTCAATCAATTTGGTTTTCATGTTATTGATATCCACAACTGTTTTCAACTTATCGGCTGAATTTAGGCTAGTAGTTTCGTAATATATCACATTGCTTTATCTGTTCCGAATGTTAGCCTTCTGTGTATTTTTAAATTTACACTAATGATAGATTTACTGGAGATGTGGATTTGCAAAATTTAGATAAAGAGGATGCCCTTGTCTGTTTTGAAGAGCATATTTGTATGCTTGAGCAAGAGCACGACGAAGATAAAGAACGCGAACGTCGGAGACAAAAAAGGGAACAACGAAAGAATCGAGAAGCATTCATAGTTTTACTTGATGAATTGCACGAGCAGAAATTACTCACTTCTATGTCTCTATGGAAAGATCTATACCATATAATAAACAAGTAAACGATTTTATGTTAATTTTAGTACATTATTTTTCGACTCTGATAATTCAAAACATTATCGAAATTTATGAAGTGTTATGAAAAATAGTTATTTATTTTAACACATAAGTATAGGTACAGGGAGGCACCAAAATACATATGCGCCACACAAAGCTCAATTGATTTGTGTGAGGGCTGTGATACTGCTCGGGTGCCCAAACCGAAGCAGGTGGTTGTCTTAGGGGGCCACACCCCGAGCCTTTGACCTGAACGTCTGACCCACAAGGCAGTGGAGCATCGTGAGGAGATGCAGTCCCATGGTAGCCGGTGACCAACGATTGGTTCATACGCCATTTGTTCCCGCAGGATACTGGAGCCCATGTGCACCATTGGTTTGGGGTCCGGTTAAAGCGCCAGACATTCGCTTTTCGTCCTCTCATTTTTGTAGACAACACCCCCGCCACGAGAAGGCAGTGAGTAGGACTTCCCTGGCAGGGGCTATATACGCATGGCCATGTGAGAGCATTTCGAGAGGGAGAGCGGACTCTCCCCACTCTCGGCCGTACCAGGGCATTTGGGGGCTATGAAAAATAGTAAACCGCACAGAAAAAAGCCAAGAAATTATTTACTAGTTTATCCATTCTGGTTAGCGTTTTTTTAGCGAGTTAGTTTTCTACGGGATGGGGACGCTAACCCTATGCCCAACCCTCCTCCTTTACCCGGGCTTGGGACCGGCAGTAACTCTGGAAGAGCTACAGGCGGCATTCCTTCAACTGAAGAGCATATGGAACTCAAAACAACTTTCAACCAATATCAAAGTCAGAATCTTCAATACCAACGTCAAGGCAGTTCTACTGTACGGAGCTGAAACTTGGAGAACTACAACAACCACCATCAAGAAGGTACAGGTATTTATCAATAGCTGTCTACGCATGATACTCAACATCCATTGGCCGGATACCATCAGCAACAGCCTTTTGTGGGAGAGAACCAACCAGCTTCCAGCTGAAGAGGAAATTAGGAAAAGACGATGGAAATGGATAGGACATACATTGAGGAAATCATCAAACTGCATTACGAGACAAGCGCTAACTTGGAATCCTGAAGGGAAGAGGAAAAGAGGAAGGCCAAAGAACACATTACATCGGGAAATAGAAGCAGATATGATAAGGATGAATAAGAACTGGAAAGAGCTTGAAAGGATTGCCCAGGACAGGGTTGGATGGAGAATGCTGGTGAGCGGCCTATGCTCCTTCACGAGGAGTAACAGGCGTAAGTAAGTAAGTAAGTAAGTTATCCATTCTAGCTAACACTATATCAATAAACACAACGTGCGGGAATCCATCAACGAAGAAACGAGGTATTAATGGAAAATGATCAAAACGACAATTAGATACATGGGACTGTGTTGAATATAAGATTGTTCAAGAAAATAAAGTATACACCTACTTTCTGTAATTTTACGTAAATCTGTCTTCTGCAATTGACGATCGTCTGCTTTAGTTGTTTTAAAGACATTCACGAAGTTTATGTCTTCATGGATGAGATCATGTAAGAAGCTATTAACTTTATCACTTGATGCTGTATATCTTTTCGGTCATCAAGAGTCAGTCAGTCAGTAATGACGTAGAACCCCGACCGTAGCTGCTACCTTGACGTGGTGGTCGGGCTTACCTATCGTGATAACCCAACGGAGCTATATTGGCTGGAACATATGTTCCTGCAGGTTCTACCATGCCAGGCAGGTCGATTGGAGAACGGTAAGACTAAAAGCAGCAACTCAAGGTCTGAGGACGAAGTCGTACTGTTGACTGTACAGAGGTGTGACAGCAGTAAGGTGTTTCCCTCGGACAACCAGCATCTGCAGCGATGCTGCCTTCTCACAAGGAAGGAAGGGGTTAGAAAAGGTTGACCCAAAAAATATCACACCTCACCTTACCCCACGGATTTCCGTCTCCGGCGGTAAGGCCCTTTAAAGAACGGAGATAACACATTAAAAACCTCCCACAAAAAGGCCGTGCGCTACCGGCCTCAAGCAATTGTCCCTTGGGCTCTGCGGTCACGCTCCCAGGTCTTGAAGACCAGCACTAATCTGATTTCCCTTTCAGGTTCCTCAAGAAATACCCTTCCACGGTGTAGGCGACCGGGAAGTGATATCAGCCCTCATACCCGTAACAACACACGAGACCAAGTTGATCACATTCAAATCCTTCCTACACCTCCTAATAACTCTCTTATCTCCACGACTAACCCTTCTTACGTCTCTTTATCACCTCGCCCCGCTATTGCAAACGATTCAAGTACGCGGAACGTTATTCCTGGTCTCCTGAAACCACGCTCTAAACTACACGTAGTAGCTTTCAACGTCCGAACACTGTGCCAAATAGGACAACAGGCTTACTTAGCTAGGATTTTAGAATCTCGCGCCATCGATGTGTGCTGCGTCTCCGAAACGTGCATACAGGATCCGAGTAGTGTCATTCATTTGACCTCACCATGTCAAAATAACGAATCAACTCGATTTACTCTTCGTGTATCTGGAAGCCCTGATGCTGCTTCCCGTGGCCTCGCTGACGTAGGTATAGCATTGAGTCCTAGGGCAGAACTAGCTCTCTTAGACTGGATCCCAGTAGACAGTCGTCTGTGCACTGTCCGACTAAACGGAACAGTAATGACTCGGAAAGATAGGGACACTCGTCGTTGCCTCTTCGTCATCTCTGCCTACTCTCTCACTGACTGCAGCTCAGATGATGTAAAAGATGAGTTTTACAGAAAGCTTTCCGACCTTCTCCGTAAAGCTAGGCGTTCAGATGTAGTAATAGTGGCTGGTGACTTTAGTGCTCAAGTAGGTAAACTAAGCGAAAGGGAAAGACACTTGGGTGGATCTTATGGTATCGCGGCTCAAAGAACAGATAACGGCGACCGTCTGTTGCAGCTATGCTCAGATAACCGCCTGTTTCTTGCAAACACTAACTTTAAGCACAAGGAAAAACATCTTTTGACATGGCGACCCCCTAATTCGTCCCAACGTTGGACCCAAATAGATCACATCGTTATTAGCCACCGATGGAGGGGCTCGACAGAAGACTGTCGCTCATTCTGGAGCACATGCTTAGACTCATATCATGCTCTAGTGCGAGCACGTATTTGTCTACGTCTTACTGGACGTAGGAAAGATGGTACAAGGAAACCCCTTAGGGTCCTACTTAATGATAGTTAAGCTAAGAGTATATTTCAGGAACAACTAGAAAAACAGTTAAACAGCCATGTAAGTGATGCCCACCCCGAGGCAGCGTGGAATGACATCCGAAAAGCTGTAGGAACAGCAGTGATGTCTGCAAGTACGGTAAACCATAAGGTTAGGGAGAAACACTGGATCTCAGCAGCGTCTGCCGCACTGATATTTATTATTATTATTTTATTTTAACACATAGATATTGGTACAAGGAGGCACTAAATACATATGCGCCACACAGACCTCATTTGGTATGTGTGAGGGCTGTGATACTACCCGTGTGCCCAGACCGAAGCAGGTCTAGCGGTTAGGATTCCTGGCTTTCACCACACTGATAGCTGCTCGAAAACTCATTCCATCTGGCTCTGAACATAACGAAGAGCGGAGTCAGCTTAAGCGTAAGCTGACTAGAAGCCTACACAATGATCGTGAACAGTTGTGGGTAGCGAAAGCAAGAGAGATGGAAAAGGCAGCGGCAATAGGTAACAGCAGGCAACTGTTCAGACTTGTTAAGGAAACCGGTATTAGGAACGCAACTGTTAGCGAAACAATCTCAGAGAGAGATGGACATATTATTCATTCTCAACCCAGGAGATTGGATCGATGGGCAGAACACTTTAGGGATCAGTTCAACTGACCTTCAGCCACACTTCGGTTTCCCACGATCTCCAATTTACCTGAATGGCAAGTTAATGTGAATCCTCCGACTCTTTACGAAGTTGAAAAAGCTATAGGAAACCTGAAGCGTGGGAGTGCAACAGGCCCTGACAGGTGTACCTCTGAGATTTTTAAGGATGGCGGTCCAGTATTAGCAGCGAGATTGACTGAGGTCTTAGGTAGAATCTGGGAACTGGACGTAATTCCATCTGACTGGTCTCAATCACTAATTGTGCCAGTCTATAAGAAAGGATGAAAGTCTTCTTGTGACAATCACATAGGAAACAGTTTAACTAATGGTGTCTAAAATATTAACTTCGACGCCTAACCAAAGCTCATGAAGAACAGACTAGAGAAAACCAGGCTGGTTTTCGACCTGGACGTGGTTGTATAGATCAGATATTCACACTACGTTTGGTCCTGGAACATAGACACACATTCAGACGCCCCACAATGATAGTATTTCTCGACTTTAAGGCGGCATTTGACTCTGTTGATCGTGAGGTTCTATGGCAGTGTTTGTCACTGAAAGGAGTACCGAAGAAGCACATTAACCTTATAAAGGCTCTCTACTCGAACACAATTGCTCGAGTGAGATCTTATGGCGAACTGTCATCAGAATTGATTACCTCAAGTGGTGTTTGTCAGGTCTGTCCACTCTCTCCATTCTTGTCTAACTTTGTCGTTGACGTGCTTTTAGAAATCACACTTTCCACATCTGACTTTCCTGGGGTTGAACTTCTACCGAAAGATTCACTTGTTGACTTAGAGTATGCCGATGACATAGTTATATTTGGTGAAGACGCTGAAAAAGTGCAGTCTGCTGACCACTCTAAGCAACAATGCAAGCATGTTCGGCATGCGATTTTCTCCCTCGAAATGCAAGATGTTGCTTCAGGATTGGGTTGCACCGCCACCCGAACTAGTGATAGGGATGAAGTAGTTGAGCGTGTCGACCGCTTCACTTATCTCGGAAGTCTCATCAGCCCTTGTGGTCTGGTGTGTGACGAAATCTCAGCACGGATACAGAAGGCTCGACTAGCTCTTGCCAACTTGCGTCATTTATGGCGTAAGCGAGATATCCGTCTACCAACCAAAGGACGAGTTTACTGTGCAGCAGTTCGATCCGTCCTACTTTATGGCTGTGAAACATGGCCGGCAAGAGTAGAGGATATTCGTAGGTTACTAGTATTCGATTATAGATGTCTTCGAAACATTGCTCGTATATCCTGGGGCCACCGAGTAAGTAACTCAGTTGTTAGGAAACGGGTACTAGTTAAGAATAGCAAATCAATCGATGAAGTAGCGAAACTTCATCAGTTGAGATGGCTGGGACACTTGTTACGTATGATCAACCACCGACTGCCCCGACGTGCGATGTTTTATGGTGTAGGAGTAGGTTGAAAGAAAGCTAGGGGTGACCAGGCCAAAACATGGCACAAATCCATGAAGTCACTGACAAGTGGGCTGAGCCATGTTGGTAGGTGTAAACTACCTGGTTAGGGACCGCGAGATGATAGCAACCGATGGTTAGAGACCTTGAATGACATGGCTAAAAATCGTTTGCAATGGCGCAGGTGCATCCACTCTCTGTGTTCTCCTGAATTCTCCTTGTCTCTATTTTTTCTCTTTCCATATTTATTTCACTGTATTAAACCCCTTGAATAACATCAAACCCTAATCTTTCTGATTACTGCTTATACTCTTACTACCTCTGCCACTACGGGATTTGGATCGAAAACTGCGTCTGTGCTAATGCGGTGTGGCAACTCGAACTGATGTACGTACGTACGAAGTTCCACGTTGTTACTGACTGACTGCAAATTCAACCTCAAAACAACCAATATATCAACAGTTAAGAAGTATTTGAGAAATACAGATAACGATAAATGTATAGTCTTGCGTCTTTCGCTTTTATCATTCTATCTCACAATCATGGAGTATATTAGCTCATGTGATGAGAAATATGGATGGCTTGTCGACATCAAACACGTAAATTTGTGACTTCTGTTATAGATGAGAATTATCGTTATTGATATGTATTCTTCAATACTCTTTACATGTACAGACGAGCTTTGATACAGTAACCTATGACAGATATGTGGTGAGACAAAATTTCATTTGGTTTGACGCTAAATCTCCATACTTTGTGTGTACTTTCGACTGTTTTAGAGATGATCGATTTCACAAAATGCTTGCTCAACGTGGTTCTACGCCATTGGATTTATTCAAGTTCTATGTTGAAGCATTAAGAGCTCGTTTCCCAGCTGAAAAAAAGATTATCAAAGAGATTTTAAAATACAATTGTACACCAATCGACCTGTCTGTTTCATATGAAGATTTTTGTTCGGTAAGTTCATTGTTGTTTTATATAGTGAATCTCTACAATGTAACAGTTTAAAGTGTTATCATAAGGTGTTAGCATTATTACCATTTTGTGTAATGTTAGCTGAAATTTAACCTAGTCTATTTGTGATCATTTCAACTTATGATACCTTACTTCAGTGTCATAATGATATATTTTTGTGGAGGGAGGTTTCAGTTTTTATTATGAAGTCATTTCACTTATTAAAACAATGAGGAGGATATTAATCAGTAAGTGAAACGCAATGTTGCAGTGTATGCCGACTGGTCGCTGTTCACCAAATTGAGTTGTTGATGTAAGTAATATCAAAAGACAAGACAACAGAATAAGTTTTCTTCCTAGTAAATTAACATATAATGTACAAAATGTTAAATACAAAAATAAACATGATTAAATATCATAAGCAAATACAAGATGCTAGTTTTGTGACTCACCCACACTTTAGTAGAACTAAGATCGGGTTATCCGGTTTCATTATTGCTAGTTTTACGATTGTTCACTCATTTCTGTGTTGCAAAGCATGGATGCTTGAATTGATGATGTTATTTGTCTAACAAACCATTTTGATCTAGCTTCACATTTTCATCAACGAATTCATCTCTTAATGAATTAAGCTCTAAATTCTATGCCCACTAGTGTTTCATTTAGGGTTTAATTATGTTTTCTGTTTTTAACTTGTGTGTTTATTTTCACTAGAATAAGAAAATTGTTTTCTGGTCATTTGATTTGTGTTTTGACATTGCTTTATTGAGAGGCGGGGCGTTTTCATTAATAATCTGGTCCTGTACGTTGTTATTAGTTAACTGGATCGTATGAATGAAATCGCGTGAAAAATAAAATCCCGTGAAAATGAAATCTTCAGTGAACCGTAGTATGTCTTTTTTTCTCTCCTAATATGTGAAGTGCAAAGTCCATAATTTCTTCTGCAGAACTCAAAAATTAACAAAATGAATTTGGTTGGTTATAAACCAATCGCATTTTGTAAATATAAAATGTTCAATATCGTTGACCCATACTAATTAGTAATTATTTTGTATCTAAATGACAATGGAGTTCTACATCTTAATATCAAGTTTTGGGATATTTTTCTTCAGATAATAGGCTCTGATGAACGCAGCAAAGGAATAGATGACGGAAATATGCGTATGACATATGATGGTCTACTAGAAAAAGCTCAAGGTCGTGAACGTGAACGCCAAAGAGATGATGCTAGGCGTATGAGAAAACTTGAACAAAACTTCTGTGAAATGCTTACAAATTCCTCCTTCATTCAGTCTAATACTAGTTGGGAAGAAGTTCGAGAAAAATTAAGTGACCATCCTGCCTTCAAAGTAAATTTCCTATTTCTTTCTTGTATTTTAATCTCAAGAATCTCAGTTGGTTTTTAATTGATTAGTTTAATCAGTAGCCGTTCATTATTAGATTCTAAATAAATTGATTTAACTTTATGAGCACAGATGCATAGTGGTTAGCAGTGGAATCCAAGACGCGCGTTTCGTCCAGTATAGGAATCGTCAGCTGGATGTACCTGCATCTCAGAGTTGACGTCCACTCGGAGACTTGAACCCAGTACTGTTCGCCTCAAACGCCACCACCTTATCCACTTAGCTACTGAGTCCAGATATCCGCTAGGTTGTGCATTGAGGTAACGTTTTAATTCATTTTTGTATTGGTTGTTTGAATCTTCCCATTGGTGTTTAGGACTGCAATTGATCAGTCCCATCTCTGCTTATAGGTAATCCGCCAAACTGATTTGACTGATGTATTTAGTCAATTTTGGATATTTTGCTTGTGAAAATCAGACTCCGAAAACCATCATTGTCATTAGTTTAAGATTGTCGTTTTCATTTCTTAGGGTTTAATTACATTCCACCTCCATTTAAACATTTTATTGTACCACTTTAATCAACCCGTTGTTTTACAATTATTACTCTTTATCTGCTTGAATATTCAAGCTGTTGAGATTTCCATCTCCAGTTTCTTAATAAGAATAACATTTCTGTGTTTTGGTTTATTTCGTTTTTATGTAACCATATTTACCTAGTGTATTATTATTATTATTATTATTATTATTATTATTATTATTGCCAACGAACATAATACTGATCATTATTTAAAAAAATAAGTATCTTTTTGGAATGGTAGTGCTCTGAAAATAAATTCACCGAGAAGACTGCACTGAACCAATCTTTCTTATCCAGGATCCTGTTTACAATCTGCTTTTATAATTTATGTGTTTACTTCTTACAGTTATGAATTGGTAAGACGTTTCGAGAACTCTTAAGTTTATTGGTATTGTAGAGACGTCTTGAACATTTTCTCATTACGTACGTTTCTAGAATTTTATTGATCAACTTCACTTTAATATTTGCCTTACGATCAGCAACCAAATTTCCCAGTTGTTGTTATAGTTACCACTGAGTTGACAATGAATAAATAAATTATATGATTTCTTTTTCATCTTCACTGTCAACTGAATTTCCATTTATCTAACGTATTCGCTGTGTTAACAGTTAGTGGAATAGGAGTAACCTAGTGGTTAAAACTCAACCTTTAACCAGTAGGTCTCAATTTTTAATCACTATAGAACTTTCTATTATTGATAGTGACTATAAATATGTACAGTTCCTTTGGATTATTAGTATACTACCTATAATTCATCTGTTTTGTCTTGATGACACTTGTCACGATTAATGACATTAGTGTCATAAGGTGGTTTGGCATCGCCACTATTCCCTAATTATCGCTCTTTATTTTCTGATTGCTTTCTCAATTTGTTGTTTGCTCGCTTTTTCGACCAATTATTTTATTTGTGAAGCGTTCGTTCTTCCTCACAATTCATTGCTGTAATGAATATTTATTTTAGGGTTTGTCGTTGGAATCAGAAAGGATTCGACTCTTTAAAGAGTATATTATTTCAATTGACAACTCAAATGAAGACTCTCATCGGTCTCGTAAAGATAAACATATATGCGAAAGGTTGGTTTTTAAAACATTTCTGTAGGAATTTTTATAGTTTAGTCAACCTTTTTACATCAGTGTATCGATTTCCCACTTATTTTTGAGGTTTCTTGTATAGCATGGGAACTTTATTCCTGTTCTCTCTTAATATTTAATTTCATGGGGGTAGGCTGATTAATTTACAGACAACCGAATTGCTTATTGATATCAATTGTGGAGATATTAAGAAATCATTGTAATCTGACACATACAACATCAATGTCCTTGTTTTAAAATTATTCGAAATCTAAATTTAGAACATTCATTTAGATTGTGCTTGACAGTGGAATTTAGTTGCTTCTGTCGCCCTATTTTGGACGCGTTAACCGGCTGTACCTGTATTCTTCTATTGACGCCCATACTGAAGCTTGAACCTCAATGCCTGTCGCTTCAAACACTGACTCATTCATTGAGCTACTTGGTTTTGATAGAGCCACTAACTTGGGCAACGCGTACATAGGTAATCTTTCGTTGTTTATATTCGAGACTTCACATGTCTATACCAAGGTAATCCTCTTAAGTTGAACATTTGAAAGCAAAAACTGATCAGTTATAGTCTCTGTATATCAACAACGGGAAATTATGTCAGTAAGTCAATCAGCTGCAACGTAGGACCAGGCACATATATGACGGGAAATTATGAATCCTTATTAATTCATTTTATATTTTGTAGTGAATGTATGCCACTAATGATACGATATCAAATCTAAGGGGACTAGATAGATCAAAAAGCAAGGCAAGAAAACAATTCTAAACAAAGAATTAAAGTAATGATGGGCGTCAATGCATAAGATACGTCAACCTTAAGTACGGGAACGGAAAGTTAGACGAAACGGACATGTTTACTCCTCTTCGTATGAATATATTGTAGACATTAATGTAGAGGGAAAATTAATTGTTGATCTTTGCAGTAGTGATTATACAATTGCGAGAAATATAAAGACATCTTGACGAGACGTTTACGCTACGAATGACCATGAACGACAATGACATTTTGTAAATTTCCAAAAATAAACTCGAATAAAGAGGAAATATATTCACATTTTATAACTGACAAGTACATCTTAAAGCGGTAAAGTTGCATAAATTTTTAAACTAAAGTAATTATCGTGAAACACAATATTTCTAATAATATTGGCGCTTGTTTTATTTTTTCAAGCTAGCAATTGCTTCGGTTAAACATGATGATTAAACTGCAGTAAGTAACATACTATCACATTATCTCCACACAAGGTATATTTCCGTTCAGAAATAAGTTGTTTTTCTGCCTATGAATTTTGCCTTTCTTTTTAGTAAATGGTATACAGTTAGTAATTTATCAACATATGTATTTACCTACATGTAGGTCTGCTTCTATTCAAGATGTTGAGAAAGATGTCGATGCAGTGAAAGATCAGAAAAAGAAACAAACTGTTTCCCCTTCCCCAGCTCCTTCAGAACATAGCCATACTCGTAGATCGGACGACGAAAGGGGATCATCACAGAAACGTAAACATCGTAAATCCAAGAAATCAAAACATCGCAAATCAAAGCACCATAAGCATCACAAAAATGCAGACAAGCGTCAAGATGAAGAATTAGAAGAGGGAGAAGCTGCTGATGATGATGACGAGGATGATGAAGCTGCGAATCCTCAAACAAGTGATCGTGCCAATCCTCTCAGTGGTAGTAAACGTCATCGTCATCATCGACGTGGCCAACGCTCTCGGACGTCTGACCCTGAGGATGGTGAAGAGGTAGACAGTACTAGTGATGGAGAATTTTATGACCGTGATTCAAAGCGTAAAAGACGTTAGCATTGTAAAACAGTCTTATAAAAATTTTTTGGTTGTGTACATAATAGCATGTCATTATGTTAGATTGTTTCAATCGTTTCTGACATTGAAAAGTTTTTATTGAGCCATTTCACCATCACGTCTGCTGGTATCGCTATACTTCGTGTAAACTTTATTTGTTTTTGGATAGTTCACTTTAAAAAGTTTCTCTATATATCTGTTCTAAGTAACTAGTCAAAACGTCCCACTCTAAGCAAATCTGGCTATTCGTGGTGATTAAATTCGGATTCTTGTTCAGATTAGAAGTGATTTTGGGATGACGGTCAGTTACGTTATTTGCTTGTAATTTACTGGATGAATATCTTACGACTAGTTAGTAAGGACAGTTGGCGTGTTCTGCTAAACTAAAGGTCTTAAACTATTCCGTTGCCTTTTCTTTGTGACATCTTCCTAGAATTTCGATAAGTAAGTGGGGATTAAGAAACTGTCGAGCAGTATATATTACTATTTTGTTATTGGTAATAATTTATGCTTGTTAATTATCAAAACCGATAGTGAAATTTTCATTATACAGAACGTTTGTATTACTGGTAACAGGTTTTTGAGCCATAGTTTCGGACACGCTGCCAACATGAAATATGATCACATTTAGGTTTTACGGGATGAGTTATTTGGTTGCTTAGATTTCGATAGGTCATACAGTTCATATACTAGTTCGAAACCTGAATATCTGATATAACCATGAGTGTTCCTTTTGTAACATTGTATTTCATTTATTTGTTTTTACATTACGTGATATCACTCTATGTCTTCCCAGATTTTGTTTGCCTATTTATACATTTTATCATCATGATGATGGAACAGACTGATAATCTGTTTAATTGTATGTTTCTTACACCCATCCCTCACCTTTCAACTCATATCATTCTTGCTCGTTAGTATCGAAGTCGAGTTTTCTACGCACAAGATGGGAATTAAAACTCTTTCGTGCCGGTGTTTACTACTTTCATCAATAGCAGTAACCAGATTATTGTGAGTAGGTTTTTATTTGGATTTTGAAACGGAACAGTTGGGGCGTGAGGTCATCTTTTTTAAACACAAATATTTTCAACATCCAATGTAATATAATAAGGATATGCTACCATATGAATGTCTATTCGATCAATTTACCAAACAAAAACATTTCAGTTATATTAATAATATATTCTGAAATAGGAAAATGTTACACGAGGCATGTCAGTTTCCACAGCCCGGTAGGACATTGCTTACCAGTTCTTTGTTTGGCTCCCAGTCGATGACGGTCAACGCCTGGTCAGTATTCAGCGGTGCCCCATAGATGTACACTCTTATCGTGTATTTATCTTTCACTAATTGTCGCTTATGACTTGCTGGACATGTCCTCTGTATGTGGATTAGAGCCTGTGAGAGAATGGAGTGTAAGAAAGTGAAACACGAATACTGAGGAAGTGTTGCCAACGGGCTGCTCAACAACACATTGGTGAGGTACAGTTTTTCCATGCCATGTCCAGATATTGGGTGTTTATTCACCTGCCTCCTGGGTCACCCTCAAGTAAAAGGTAAAGAAGAATCTATATTGATGAAAAAATCATTATAGTTAGTCAAACGTGAAAAATTCCCCCGTCGATTGTATGGAATAATCATACAAAAATAGGTTGCCATATTATGAGCGCTAAATACTTGGTCCCGTATAAGTGTTTGAATTCCATAAGGGATTAAAGGAAATAGACACGGTGTAAAAATCTCTGACCCTAAAGTGCATTCAGACAGGAGGTTGCTATTTTAAAAATACCTGTGTGAGCCTGTCAGTAGTTGAATTTATCACAAAACTCAGTCAAATATATGACCTCGAGTCTGTGACGATCACCTCTTGTAACCTGGTTTGTGTCCGCCGACCAGGAAAATTAGAACATAAGATTTGGAAAAAACCGACATACTAGAATCCCTCGGTCGAATAGGCTTTTTTTGTCAGCACTATTACCATATACTGGTGAGTAGATATCAATTTTATTGGTTGTTAGTGTACAATAAGTGGAGTTCTTACTATCCTTTTCAAAAATGAGAACGTTGTGGGTAGGAGAAGCGCAAAGCAGATTCAGACTCGGAGTTCATGTGTAGAAATGGTGGTGCTGCTAAGTGCTCATGAAATATAACTGTTTGAGAAGTCCATAGTTGTTATAATGCAGTTATTTGGGGTGTTTGGTATCATATGTGACCTTGAAAAATGCGTGCAAAAAAGTTTGTCTCAAGTTTATTCCAGGTTGAAGAAGTTCCATATTTGTACATCGACAAAGTGATATTGAAAAAAACAGAGGAGCAGGGAGACATTTAGACGTAACCTTTGAACAGTCCTCAGAGCAGACAAAATTATGTGTGATGTTTGAATGAACTAACGATTTCTTTGTACTTGTTGAATGCCTGATTTCGAATTCTAAATACAGTACATTCCTTAGTGCATGTGTAGTACTTCTTGATTCAATTGCGTTATTTCTGGGATTCTTAGTTCATACTATAATTCAAATACTCGTAATTATCATATTGGCGTCGCGATAGAGCCTGTGATGGAATTGTTGGATATACATTCAGATTTTGATGCTTATGAGGACTATTTGGAATGGTTTGAAATCTGGGCTATGACCAAGGAAGATAATGAGGATGTTAATATTGTGGCACATTTTCTCACATTCATCGGAAAAGAAGCATATAGCTTATTAAAAGTTTTGGCTTTACTGGAAAAGCCCATTTCTCTTCCTTATACAACTCTCAAGGAACGACGTCTAGACTATGCCAAGTATACAAATTTCGAATGCGGTAAAGGGAGATTTCGTAAAACGATTCATGAGGACATAAAAAATTCCACTACATTACGTCACCCCATCCCAGTGCATACTCAAGGTTATACAGATAATTCATTTAGGAGTTGCGATGCAGTTCACGAAGATGGGCACAAGTTTGGTCAGTGTTTGTCCTGTGGCAAGTTCCACCCTTTTAATTCATGTAAATTTCGTAATTCCAAGTGCTCTAAATGTGGTGATATTTGACATATTCGGTCAGTTTGTAATACTACTGTTCATCTTGCTGCAACCAATATTAAGTCTTGTGATTCCGATTCTATTAAGTTGAATATTTGTAATGATCATTTATCTTTATCAACGATTTCAAAAGACAGTTTAGAGTTATATAGCAGTTCAGAGTTGAATGAAACTCAGAATCCTTGCGAGAAAACAATTTCTAATGAATCAATATATCAGATTTTTCATGTTATTGTACCAGATATGATTTTTCCTAATGGTTCACATATTTCTGATGAAATTTCTTACAAATCTGATGAGAATATTTCGGATGAACCTAATCATGATCGAAAATCTGATGTAGTTTTGATTGATGCTGATTTTTCTAATGATCCTTTGCTCTGCAATGACATTCTTAATAAATTTGAGGAAACTATTTCAGAAGAATCAAATATTGATGTCATATCAAATATTATTTGTCTTCATGATGCATTTGTTTCTTGTGAGAAACTTGTTCGATGCGAAGCACGAGTATTAAATGAGTTAGAGTTTGATTACAATTCAGATAATTCCATATCAACTGTTGTTTGTCCTTATCATAAATTCACTTCCAATGTTTACTCTAGTCAAATTGAGAAATATGTTTTGAATGAAGCCACATTATTCATAACTTGGGGATATGAAGATCCGACATTATTTCGTGAAGGAGGATAGTCTGAATGTCTATGGTTGAAATTCTAGGTAGCAGTGGTTTCAGTACCCAACCGGCATGATGATTGTACACAATCCCAGGAAGCAAATAATACAGAGACTTTATCCAATACACTGTGGGACAGACACAGGATGAACTTAAGAAGAAGACGTAAAAATGATTGCAGACACTTAGACTCTAATTTAAGCTGTGGCGGATGTGGCGTTTGAATGAACTAATGATTCCTTTGTACTTGTTGAATGCCTGATTTCGAATTCTAAATACAGTACATTCGTTCATGCTTATCTAGTAGTTCTTGATCCAATTACGTTATTTCTGGGATTCTTAGTTCTTACCATAATTCAAATACTTCTGATTATCATATTATGTTAATTTACAGCCTCTCAATTTGAGGAAAGCTGCATTATAAAATCTTGGGGTGTTGCTACAAAAATCTTCCGCGGTCTAGGGATCTTCGAGAAAATTTCGAGTTATTCTGAGGAAATGCTGAAAATGTTTTGGCCTTCCACAATGATTCCGAAGACTTTAGAGAATCCTACCTACGCTCTTTGGTAAGATCCCGAAATTTCTCCGTTTTCAGGAAAGCATTGAGAGGCTCACAGAATTTACTATGTGTTGAATTATGGTCTACTATGATATTAGTACTGCTCTAATGATAGACCTAATCCTATAATTGTGGAATTTTCATGATGTAACTGCCTAATCTATAAGATCTTACTTGGAAGTCACATAATCTTCTACACCAACCCAGTGCATCTTAACAAATACCAATATATGATAGAGAACAATCTTAAGCTGGAGACAGAACAATATATTTAATATGAGTAAAATATAAGGTAAAATTCAACAGGGACCACACCAGCACTTTTAGGACTATGACATCATTGTCGTTAACACTAACTACTTTGTTGTCGCACATCCACCTGGCTTGTGAAATTGTTTTCCTCGAAATCACATGGATTGTTCTTTGGAAAACAATATGGTGTAAACATGCAATCACAGCTTATTCGTCATATCGAAGTAGTTCCGTCTTGCAACATTCGTGATTGAAAATATTTTTATATTAGCATTACCATGGGTAAAAGTTCGTGTTGTAAATGAAATCGTAGATTAAGGTAATTAAAAAGCACAAATAAATTTTCCGGATTGATTAATGTCTTTACATTCTTCTCAATCGGTATTGAATTGTTGTTATGTTTGTAACACAGAAGTTAAACTCTCGTTAAAATTTCCACAAGCGGAAAGAGTGTACGTCTTGTATATTATGAATGTAATATCAA